TTCTGGCAGCCACAAAGACTCGTTGCCAGCAAGAAATCTGGATCTAGCTACAGAGAGTTTTCCTGTGTTAAATCTGCTGCAGCAAAAACAAGCAAGGTGTGTGTCCAATACTGGTTGTACTCAGAGTAGCCCCATTCCATTTTTCATTTTCATTTTTTACTCTTAGTAAAACTTGCTCCAATACAACCCAGAAAGTCTTGTGGCATCTGAAAGCAGGGGTGTGGGGGAGCACTGAATGTTGCTGTTGCTCGCCACCCCAATCCCCGAGTGGTGAAAGATTCCAGGGAATAAAAAGATTCCAGGGAATCAGAGGGCCTTCTGGCGGTTCCCTCACTGCGAGAAGCCAAGTTACAGGGAACCAGGCAGAGGGCCTTCTCGGTAGTGGCACCCACCCTGTGGAACGCCCTCCCACCTGATGTCAAAGAGAAAAACAACTACCAGACTTTTAGAAGACATCTGAAAGCAGCCCTGTTTAGGGAAGCTTTTAATAGTTGATGAATCATTGTATTTAATATTCTGCTGGAAGTCGCCCAGAGTGGCTGCAGAAACTAAGCCAGATGGGTGGGGTATAAATAATAAAATTATTAATAATAATAATAAACTGTAGGCCACAGCCCTCACTGTAGGCTTTGCCAGCTTGGGGCCCTCCAGATCTTTCGGACTACGATTCCCATCAGTGCTAAACAGCATGCACTGGCTGTGGCTGATGGGAATCATAGTCCAAAACATCTGGAGGGCCCTAGGTTGGCAAAGCCTGCCTTACTGAGACAGCATACAGGCACCGAGTCAGTGTCTAGTGGGAGGTGGTGGCCGTCTGTAGTTCTGCTCAATTTGCTTGTTGGAGTGTCTGAGACAAATAGCATTGCTTTTGTGTGTGTATGTGTGTGTAGCTTCATTATGATGGCATATTTACAATGCCCCGTTCGGCAGGATACATCACTCGAGTCCCTGCGCAGTTTCACAGACAAGTGACACTTAAGATGGCCCATTATAGTCAGCCGCTGCCGTCTCATTTCGCACTAATTGCTTTCCCAAATTGGATGGGCGCTTCTCTGACATGGAAAACAGTGGCAGAAGTATCATTAATCTGGGACAGAGGCTGGGGGCAGGGGAGGGAAGGGGTAATTGCTAGCATGGAGTGCTTTATGCAGTAATTACAACTCTCATGCAGCCAGTCATTCCTAATCACCTCTCCGCCCCCTAACACTTTCCTTTACACTCCAGTTGCCCCACGCTCAGAGCCCTGTATGCCTGCGAGCCCCTGAAAGCATTTTCAAAAAGGGCAAATATTATTCTGCATTTTGAAATAGTTTTTGAGGTGCTAAAACATTTCCACTTTGCTCTGCTCACGGTTCTTAATGCGGTAATTTATTGGTTTTCACTGAGTTGGTGGTGTTGTTGTTGTTCTTGTGGGTTTTTGGGGTGTGTCTGGATGAGGCCCTGAGGCCCTTCCCGTTCTTGGGGTCCTGCACCCAGTGAAGGTTAGAACCTGACAAAGGAAGTGGCTGAATTAGTCAGACAAGCTTCTCTGTAGGACAATGGCCTTAGCTAACCACTGAAGTGTCCTCATTGGCATCCCAAAAGAAAGAGCTAAATTGCAAGAGCTACAAATAAGCGGCGGGGCCCTCCAAGCTTATGTGTGGGCCTTTTTTCCTCCACCACCCCTCCTAGCTGCTAGGTAGGAAAACAACGGGAGAATGTGTGTGAGCTGAGTTTTGTAAGCAAGCTGGAAGAGGGACTGAGAGATGTGCTCACTCTGTGCTAGATCCCAAGCTGTGACTAATGAAGAAGCAAGATCAGTTGGGTTCTTATTGCTGTGAGACCCTCCATCTTATGCTCAGGTTGTCTATATGTGTAAGTAAAGCCATATATCCTAAAGACTCCGCAATCTCTGCTGACCTTCATTCCAAGGAAACCGAACCTCCTAGAATTTCTGGAGTCTCACTGCCCAGAGACTGAGCTGGTGTGTAACATCATAATCATCACCATTATTATTAATTACCCATCCTTCGCCCTAAGGACCCAGTTTACAACAATTAAAACACAGTATTAAAATCAGTTTAAAGCAACCTACAATCATAGAATATAAAAAATATATACATCTAAAAATATACATCTCTTTCAGATATTTGGGTATTTTAAGCCTTCAAACACTAATATGAACATCGTGAATTAGGCCTGAAAATGAACTGGCAACCAAGAGGTAGCTATTTGAGGAGCAGATGTAGAGGGTTTTCACACAGAACTCGTAACAGTGCACATGAGCCTGAATTTTAAAATTTCCTCCTCCCTCACAATCCATTTTCTTTTTGTGCTGTGTCTTTTTAGGTTGTAAGCCTACAGGCAGAGAGTGACTTTTTTTAAAGCCGCTCTGCAAGCCTTTTATAGCTTAAGAGCAGGATAAAAAAATATATTTAAATAATAAGCACATTCTCATAAGTCTACTGGGCAGAGTAAGCTGAAAGGTGGAGATGTCTCCACGGCTGAGAAAGGATTTGAATCTAGAACTCTTTGGCTTATACCCAGCACTTTGGACAGCACCCTTTAGGACTAAAATAATAGAATTCATTTTTAAAAATACTGCTTAATGTAATAACAAACCATAAAAAGGCAACAGTCAGTAAAATTTCCTAAGGTACCAGGTTCAGTTCTCTGGGAGAATTTCCAGGTAGTGCTGTGAATGTTGCCTACCTGAAACCCTGCAGAACTGCTGCCAGTCCGTGCAAACAATGCTGGTCTAGATAGACCAATGATCTTGCTTAGCAAAAGGCAGCTTTCTCTGTTCCTATTATTAAAATGAGACAAAAAATGAAATGCAAACAAATTTATAGTGATAATGCTGCTTATTATGCCACACTAGCTGAAATGATTGAAATGCCCTAAAGCAGAATTTGTACAGGAAAAATGAGGACACAATCTCATACGTGTACATTTCATGTCAGTGACACACCCCAAAGGATGATGCAACTTTATACCAGGCCTGAGGCTAATGTGGAATAAAAATAAACTTTGGGCTAGCACAAATGTCCTCTACAAAATGGCAGTTCAAACCCAGGGCTAGTAATGTATAACCATCCATTCTTTCAACTTGCTTGAACTCTACAACTGATTTATTCATATTCTTATTTAGAAAAATAATATTTTTGTCTTTACTCCCAGACAATATCCCATTTAATCCTCAGAACAACTCTGTGAGAAATAGGCTAGGCAGTGAAGTAGTGACTGTTTCAAGGCCACCCAGTGAGTTTCATGGACAAGCATGGATTTGAACCCAAGTCCCACTGCAACATTCTAACCACTGCAATACATTGGTAAACCTTGATAACTGTGGAGTTATATGTTTTTCAACAAGCCATTTTTGATCAATTTAACTGCCATGACCTTTTCCCAAAGACTCTTGGGAAATGTAGCTTTGAGTGTGTGTGCCCTGTAGATTTCTCTGTTAAATAGCCATACCTTCCTCTCATCAAACTACAGTTCCCACAGTTCCTTGGGAGGAGAAAATGGCCGCAAAACGAATCGTAGTCTGTGGAGCAAATACAGTTGAGTGCCTGACGGGGGCGTTTTACAATATTTTGATATAGCAGCTGGCCTGAATATGCAGCTCTATGGGTGGGGACGCTCTAGACTAGAAAGAAAGAGAAAGAAGTTCGCCATGCTAGAGCGTCATTTTAGGAGGACATGGTCATGAAGTATAGAGATAAGAAACAGGGACTAATCCATCGATTGAGAACTTCCTGGTTTGCACTGAAAGACATTTCAAAATTTCCAATGGAAGGTTGTCCAATGTTTAATTCAATGTTAAAATTATGATTCTAGTGTTCCCATGTTTACACTCAAAAAAAAAAAGATAGCGGCCAAGATGGGTGTAGGCCTTAATTTTTAAAACGAGCTGCTAACCAGATCAAATGCAAATACCAATATTGTGCGTTATCTCCATTTTGCTGCTTGGGGGGAACTCCACAGTGCTGGCTTGGGACCACATTTTATTATTGCAATTTTTTATTCCCCCTCCCCTTGGGGTCTTTCTTGTTTTCTGTTTTTAAATTTGTTCCACTACTGAATCTGGTTTGGGTTTCCAGCCAAGGTCCGTCTCCCGCCTCCGCAGCAAAACTCGCAGCTTGCAGCAAAGGGCAGTCTAATAACATTTCCCGCTGGAGCCCTAGCTGAAAACCAGTGAGCTCAGGAAGGTAACTATGCAAGCTCCTTCCATCAGCTGGAAGGAGAGAAGAGAAGGGATGCAGGGTGGTCCCATAGAGGCAGCTGAAAGGCCAGCAATTTGGGGACCCCGCCTCTCCTTGAACTGTTCCACCCCAGCTACTCATTAGAATAAATTGCAACTAAGGACTTGTACCTGAGCTTTATGTTTCTCCTCCTTCCTCCCAATCAGTTTTCCTTTTGTGCCACGTCTTTTTAAGAGCATGTACCTGAGAGCAGGGACTCTGGCAGCTTCTTTTGACCAAAGACCTGACAAAAAAAAATTATGTAAATAAGCGCAGAACGAGCCTTTTGTGCATGTGTTTTCAAGGCCCGAATTAGAAAATTTCCAGAAGGAATTAGAAAGAAGAGCATCCGCTCCAGTCTTATTAGTTACCATAGCTGTCAACTTTTCCCTTTTCTTGCGAGGAATCCTATTCGGAATAAGGGAATTTCCCTTTAAAAAAGGGAAACGTTGGCAGCTATGTTAGTTACTGGTGGTGGGAGGACGAAACACAAACCGCTGTCCAGTTGCACCTGTACTGAAACGTTTTATCCATTGGTTCCTATGGGAAGCTCGCAGTTCCGGCCCCCTCCCCCCGGGAAAAAGGGAAGCGGGGAAGATAAACTTAGAAACGTGGGAGTTGCTCCCTGTGTGTCAGTCTACACATTAAGTCTATGCGACCCAGGAGGCGGCGGCGGCGTTTTTCGTCCAAAGATCTCGGCGGTGACGTGGAAGCGTGCGTGCGCGCTCGTTCGCTCGCTCGCTGATAGGCGGCGCTGCCGCCGACGCTCTAGGCCGACGTCTCTGTGCGGGCGAGGGGGGCGGTTGCTAGGCTGCGCTCCGGGCCTAGTAGGCCGCAGGGGCGGCGTGGCCGGCCAGGCAGGCAGGCAGCCGAAAGGACGGCGAGGGAACGCCATGGCGGCTTCGCCTCGGCCGGAGCCGCGCGGCTCGGAGACACCCAGCAGCTGCGTGCTGTGTTGCGGAGAGCTGGAGGTGGTGGCGCTGGGCCGGTGCGAGCACCCCATCTGCTACCGCTGCTCCGTGCGGATGCGGGCGCTCTGCGGGGTGCGCTACTGCGCCGTCTGCCGGGAGGAGCTCGCCCAGGTGAGCGCGGCCGGGGAGCCGGTGCCGGGAGGGAGGGAGGCAGGGAGGCAAGCTCCCTGTTCTTCGGAGGGCCGCGGCCGGCTCTGGCTTTCAGTTTTACTTCTTGTATCTGTTACCTGCCTTGCCCCGACCCCCGCCCAAGGGGCCCAAGGCAGGTTACATAAAAGACAAATAATGCTATATATCCATACAGGCCACTACGGATGGCAAATGCTTCTGAGATACCTCTAAAAGGGGAAAATATTCTAGGCATTCGTTGCTTCAGTTTTGTACTATTGAGTGTATTATAAGTGTAGAATACACACACTCTCTCTCTCTCTCTCTCACACACACACACACACACACACACAGGATCGCGTCCAGCATTAGTCATACCCAGAGTAGACTCATTTAAATTAATGGACATAAGTAACTGATTCATTGGTTTCACTGGGTCTGCCCAGTGTAGAACTTAGTTTGGTACATCCCAGGATCTGACATTACGGGTGGGGGTGAAATCCGTCCATCATTATTGCGAACAGACCCCACAAAATCAATGGGCAGTATTAGTAATTAGGCCTACCAATTTTATTGGGCCTGATCTGAGTGTGGCTAATGTTGTTTATCACCAAAGTGAAAAAATGAGCAGTGGACTTTTGTTAGTGTTACCTGCTTTATTTGAAAAAGTATTATTATTATTATTATCAGTTGCTGGGGATCAACAGTGGGAGAAGGCTCTTTGGTCTGATCCAGCAGGTCTCTTATGTTCTTAGCTGTTAACCATAATAGGTTGATAAAGCCTCCAAGCTCAGAGACAGTCAACCTCTGAGTATCAATATCTTAGATGATGAACAGCAGGCTGTTTATGTGAGGGATCTGTTCTGTGGGACTTGCTGATCCATTTATGCTCCAACGGGTTGCCACCTCTTAACCTACCAAAGAGTATTTGTTGAGCCAAGCCCCTTCTGTGTATGGGATGAGTTTGAAGTGCATGGACAGCTGCTGAAATCTGTAACTTGGTGGCCAGTCACTTACACATCTCTTCTGTTTAAATGTTCATACTATCTTGTGCAGTCCTCTGGTTTGGAATACTGTACATAACAGCATGTTCTTGTCAGAACCTTGTGACCTCCACAAAGTATTTTCCTTTCATTGTTTTGGAAGGAGAAGCTATGAAGGTCAGTTATTTCAACAGAATAGGAAACAGTACTTGTGAGCTCTGCATGAGATGTATAACAAACACGTATACACACAGGGGTGGAGTTGCAGACTCACCCTTTTTGCTTATTTAACACCTCCTAATTCAAGACAAGCCTCACTTTGCAGTAAAGCCAGTTTGGCTTCTCATTCTTTTGGTGCTGCTAACATCATAATTTGGGGATTTAATGTGTCCAGGCCACAGAAGGCTATGGAGACATATTGTCTACTCCTTGCCAACTGATAGAGGAGTTTTTAATAGAGAGAGTTGCATTCAACCCTGAGGCTGGCCTTGGGTATCTACATATCCTTGACTTTGAATTACTATGCTTGTGCCTGCGTAGCCATCCCTCAAAGAAAGCTTATATCTGGTTCTCAGGTGGTCTCCAGTATTTCTCTGCCATTCTCTGGGCTTTCAACACTACTTAAAGCTCCACTTCTGTAGGATTCATGCAATTTAGCTGAGCTTTGTCCCTACTTACGCTCTCTAATGGACAGTTCATACTTTGATGGATGTTGTGGTGTTTTGTGCTGGGTAGTACTAGTGTGTTACCATCGCTTCTCGGCCTGTTGGCTAAGATCAAGTACAGTGGTACCTCGGGTTACAGACGCTTCAGGTTACAGACCCCACTAACCCAGAAATAGTACCTCAGGTTAAGAACTTTGCTTCCGGATGAGAACAGAAATCACGTGGTGGTGGCACAGCAGGAGTGGGAGGCCCCATTAGCTAAAGTGGAACTCACGTTAAGAACAGTTTCAGGTTAAGAACGGACCTCCAGAACAAATTAAGTTCTTAACCCGAGGTACCACTGTATCATTGTGGTCCATCTGGTTCTAAATCTTTGTACAGTTTCCTGGAATTCTGCTAAAACTGGCTTGACACCATTTTCTTAGCTTCCACTCGCCAGTACCTGAAGCTTCTAATGCAGGGTTAGCCAACATTATGACCTCCAGAAGTTGCTGGACTAAATTTCCTCATTGATCAGCACGGCAAATTGTCAATGGTGATTGGAGATCTGTTGTGGGAGGGGATATGTTTACATGTTCTTTTTCTTGAAAATCAATTAAAAATATGTTTATTTTCTTACAAAAAGAGGATGGTCTAACTACACCTGGAGGGCACAACCTTTGCTCTTCCTGCTCTAATGGGTAGTTCTACTAGCCCAATTTTAACAAATTTCCAGTCATCCCTTTGCTCCTTGCCGCTCCCCTTTCTTGCCAGGTTACATTCAGAGAATCCAGGCTGCCTGAGTGTTGTATGTTTTGAGGCTTCTCTCTGCTCATCTGGCAAAATTGTGAGACAGAAGAGATTCAGTGTGTACATTCTGCTATTGCTCCCTGACCATTGCTGTGCCTCACTGTTGTTACTGATCCTGTTACTTCAGTGCTCCCCTTGAATGCTACCAATGAGGAATAGACCTCATTAGTATCAGGTGTCACATCTTGATTAATAAAATTCAGTATTGGTTATGTACTTAACAATGTGTCTTAAAAGTGCAGTTAGCCTTTGGGAACCAGCAGTCTCCCTATGGAGCTGAATATTTGTTCAGAGTCTGAACACTAAAATGGGATAGACCTTTAGTCTGGAGGGTTCTGGGTGGGCAATGGCTGCTCTAGTGCAAAGGTGGGAAAGCCATGGACTTCTCTAATCATTGGCTATGCTGGGTGGAGCCGATGGCAGGGTCCAGCAACACCTGAGAGACCACAAGCTCCCCCAACCCTGGTCTAGTGATATGCAAGTGAATATTCAGGATCCTCCATATAGAAAAATCCTGAAAATGTTTAATCTCGTGCATTTGGGGACATAAGTGAATCTCCCAGTAACAGAACACCTCTGGGTGTTCCAGCAGGGAGCTTATTTTGTAGATATGACCATAAGGTGCCTACTGTTGTACATTCAAGAACGAATGGCTGCTCTCTTTGTCCTCCTTGGCTTCAGTCCAGCAGCAAGTGATATCATTTTTGTTCCAGTTGCAGGAACAGTATGTTTGCTTAAGGATCAAGGTTCAATGAGATCATTCTTCTTCAGAGTAAATCTGTTGTAGGCATTAGCATTTCCAGCTTATTCAGGTCCTGTAGTTTGGGAATGTTGGGGGGGGAGGGGAAATGGGACATGCAGTAGTCCAAAAGATACTGACATGGGAAAATAAGCAGGCAGGAGAGAGAGAGAGAGAGAGTGCACCTTGGCCAGGAGGTCATTGCATGACATTGTTGACTTCCTTGTGATCACCCTGTTCCATGTGCCCATTCATAAGTTCAGTGGCAGGGAGCTTCAGGGTGTAAGATACTTGGCATAGCAGGTGGGACGTGTGTCTATGTGTGTGCCTGTCATAGTTACTTACAGAATGAGAGTATAATACAAAGCACAGTGCTCACACTGCCATATTATTTCCATGTCTCAGGCAGGTTGTTGGTAGTAGAGCCCCTATTTTGCATGCAGAGAGCCCCAGGTTCAATCCCTGATGGCATCTTTAGTAGGGGATTGGAATGTCCCATGTGTCCCTTGGAGTTCTGCTGCCATTCAGTGAGTTAGATGGGCCTGTGTTTCAGGATAAGGCAGATTTCTGTGGTCCTCTCTGCTTGCTTATCTGGCATATTGTGCTAAGTTTCATTTTACATAAAAAGGCTACACCTCTGCCTCTGCTAAATCTAATTTCCCCCAAGAGAGTTGGCTAGTGTGAGAGAGAGTTAACAAGTAAACAGAGGACAAAAATGTCACTGGGCACTTTGTAAAAAGTGAGACGGAAGGAACAGGGGCATGTGGATGGTTATTCCAAGGGTGCTAGTACCATACTGAGGAACCCACCATAGCAAACGACCCAGACGTCCTTGTGTGTTTGCCTCTGCAGTGCTGGCAATCTGCCTTGTACTTTTTTCCTTATCACACCCTATTTTGCCTTCCTCCATGCTCTTAGCAGTGCAGCATCCTGTTACAGCTGCTGCCAAGTACTGGAGTAGATCGCTGTGATTCTGTTACCTCGTCAAGCTGCCTTTGCACTGGAAGTGGCTCTTTGGGGCTTGGAATAGAGGGAACCAGAGTGAGATGGCAGGCAGGGTTAGATTGGTAGAGTTGGGAGCAGGGGGACCTCTCTCTGTTGCACATTGGCATCCAGCCCTACCTTGGACATTGGGCAGTATCTGTAAAGCAGCTCTGGAATGCTCAGGCCTCACATGTGGGAAAGGCAGCTCCTCCAGTCTCTTCTGCTGAAGACTTTGAGGTTCTCTGTAGATGGTCCCCTGGTGATGACATCAGTGGCAGCCTCTCCTTTATTCAGGAATATTAATTAATTGTTTTGCATCCTGTCCTTTCTCTAGAGAGCTTAGAATAATAATGATAATGATAATTTTATTATTTATACCCTACCCATCTGACTGGGTTTCCCCAGCCACTCTGCAGCAGAGTAGTAAAAACATGATCAAACATTAAAAACTTCCCTAAACAGGGCTGCTTTCAGATGTCTTCTAAAAGCCAGATAGTTGTTTATTTCCTTGGCATCCAAAGGGAGGGTGTTCAACAGGGAGGGCGCCACTACCAAGAAGGCCCTCTGCCTGGTTCCTTGTAACTTTGCTTCTTGCAGTGAGGGAACCAGCAGAAGACCCTCAGAGGATGATGGGAGTGGAGACGCTCCTTCAGGTATACCGGGCCGAGGCCATTTAGGGCCAACATTTTGAATTGTGCTTGGAAATGCACTGGGAGCCAATCCTTTAGGACTGGTATTATATGGTCCCATCGGCCACTCCCAGCCCAGTATAATTCAGAACAACCATTGGTGCTTAAGAAGCTTCCTCATACCAGGTCAGACCATTGGGGCCACATGGAGCCCTCCAGAAGTTTTGAACTACAACTCTAGCCAGTGTGGCTACTTGTCAAGGATGATGGGAGTTGTAGTCTGAAATTGACACTGACTTGCAATGGTTCTCCAGAGTCTCTCCTACTTCAACCTTTAAACTGCTAAGGACTGAACCGGGAACCTTCTGCTTGCCTAACATGTACTCTGTCACAGAGCTATGGTCAGACAGAATCATGGCAGTTAGGTTAGGCTGACAAATAAGGAGTGGCTGAGTGCTACCCAGTGTGCGGAGAAGTATGGACCAAGCCACAGAATCCAGTAACTTCATAGACAAAGGAGATGTTGAAGATTCAGCATTTTGAAAGAGGCATTTCTGTCCCTTGTGGGCAGTTTCTCTTAGTGACAGTGTCTCAGTGGTGCGGTGTAGCTAGCCAGAATCTTGTGACCTGCCCTTGAGTTGGGTCTCCCCCTCAGTAACTTGGTTTGTTCATAAGAACAACCCCCCGCCCCAAGCCTTTTCAACAACAATCCTGGTTTATGACTCGCTTGCTTGGATTTTTCTCATGCCCAATGGAGATGATGCATTCCATTTATTCTTGGAATGGTGTGTCACCAGCCAGAGGCACTTCCTCTTACATAATGTTTAAATTGCGAGGAAATGAAAGCTCAGCCGACCGCGCCAGTCGCTGAGGGAGGGGTGAGCAACACACCAATCTGTGAAACTTTTTTTAAAAAAGTTCAACTGGAACTGCTGGATAGTAAGCGACTTCTATCATGTGATCATTCTAGTCCTTCAGAACGGTGGAAGCACCCATGTGATTAGTCAAATCCCTCTGCAACTGCCTAGAGCCCCCCCCCCCCAGTTCTGGGTATTCCTGCAAGGAAGGGGTTGCGTAAGTACTTGGTTTTTGCTACCCACAAATGCAGGACCAGGCAATGAGTTTAGAGAGGAGACTCCCCCCCCCCGCAGCCCCACAAGGGCAATGTCCCCTCATGGGCATCGTTCTGGGGGCTGCTCGCCAGTGGTGGGCAGGACCCAAGTCAAAGGTGGACGTGGTAACTGTTATGACTCTTATCATTGAGTAGTGGGCTACTTCTCAGCCATTCAAAAGGCAGAGGTTTGTCTGTGTGTGCCACACACTTGTGTGTGTATATACATGTTGTCTGTGTAAAGAATATACCCACCCATCCCTCTTCATTCCTAGTCTAGACGAGCAAGCAGCATAGTCACAGTTCAAGGACACATTCCAGCCAGGCAAAAGTCCTTGAGGGCAGGCACAGAGCAGAACCAATGAAATATGTGAGCTGAATGGAGTCTGCGGTCTGCAAACTACTCACCCCTTTTAAAGGCTGTAATAAATTTGGGACTTGTTTTGGCTTGTGACTTTGTTCAAGCTTTTTTCACACATCACAGCCCCATGTCCAGCCCCTCTTGTTGTGCACTTGCGGGATTAACAACCTACATGTTTTGAAAGCAACAGCTAAATTTCTCAAGGAGCTCACATAGCTTAAGTAGCTCATCTGGGTAAAACTATTGATATATTCGCTTCTTTCCTGCTGCGTTCCACTGGCTCATTGGCAGTGATGGTTCATCATTGTTTAATGTATCTCATGTGAAAGAGGTTAGAATGTGAGTGCATTCAGCTAAGATTCAAATCTGTGTCTTCCTCATCAAGACTCCACACTTTATCCACTAGGTGTTATCTGCATCCACTGATCACCACTCCAAAATCTACTATATGGATGCCAGTTTTTAGGACTGGGCCAACGGAACATCACTCTGTATGTGCCCAGGAAGCCCTCTAACTCTCCTCCTTGTGTTCTCTGTAGGTGGTCTTTGGGAAGAAGTTGGCATCCTTTTCAACTATTGCACTCAACCAGTTGCAGCACGAGAAGAAATATGACATTTATTTTACTGATGGAAAAGTTTATGCTCTCTATAGGTAAATCTTCAGTTTACTCTCCTTAGGTAAATTGGGCAATGTGTCCCACCCCAAAAAGGAGCACCTAGAACAAGGGTCAGCAAACTTTTTCAGCAGGGGCCCGGTCCACTGTCCCTAAGACCTTGTGGGGGCTGGACTATTTTTTTTTTGGGGGGGGGGGATGAACTCCTATGCCCCACAAATAACCCAGAGATGCATTTTCAATAAAAACACACATTCTACTCATGTAAATACACCAGGCAGGCCCCACAAATCACCCAGAGATGCATTTTCAATAAAAGGACACATTCTACTCATGTAAAAACACGCTGATTCCCGGACCATCCATGGGCTGGATTGAGAAAGCGATTGGGCTGCATCCAGCCCCTGGGCCTTAGGTTGCCTACCCATGACCTAGAATATAGCCATCTATATACATTGGTTTCCTCTTGAGGAATCTCTGTGCCAAATCCTGATTCATGGCACCGTGGGGTTTACTCAGAGTTCATGGAGCCTGCCTGGTCTCTTGCTTGGAAACATGGCCTATGTGGTGGATGATTCAAGATAGTATTTAAAAGTGCATCTTGGTCAGCCTTAGTCAAGTGGACACCTAGCAGATCTTTTGGACTAGAGCTTCCATCTGCCCTAGCTTCTTAGAGTTATAGTCTCAAACCCCTGAAGGGGACCACGTTGGTGAAGTCTGCCCTACCTAAGAGTCTGAGGGCAATATCTGATGAAATCTCAAGAAACCAGAATGGGAGCTCAGTTGGATTTCCATGGCCAGGGGGTGGGTTTTCAATCCCTAAACAAGAAGGGCAAACTATGCAAAACAAGCATTTTAGGTTTTCTTGATGCTGACTCTCTCTGTAAGTGATCTATATTGAACATTGCAGAAGTATGCACTAAGCTATTTTGGGTGCAGGGAAGCTTTGGCCCTCCAGATATTGCCAAACATCCCAGAATCCCTGCCCATTGGTCATTCTTGCTGGGGCTGATGGGATTTGTACATCAGCAGCATCTGGAGGGTTTCTCCACACCTGATGTATACAGTGCCTTTCTCCCTCCTGCTGGTGCTTTAATTAAAAGGATGATGTGCCAAAGGGGAAACTAGGGAATAGCTCCTGGAGGAGCTAAATTGTGTCCTCTGGCCTTTTTCTTTCTTTTAGGAAGCTTCTGCAGCACGAATGCCCGCTGTGCCCAGAGGCCAAGCCGTTCGCCACCATTGTGGACTTGGAGCAGCACATGAGGAAGCAACACGAGCTCTTCTGCTGCAGACTGTGTGTGAAACACCTGAAGGCAAGTAGTTGAAAGTCCTCCAGGGTACCCGGTTGGGTGGGGGGCTGGGTCTTGGCCTTCCCAATGACATTGCTCTTATTTGAGGGCAAGGAGTTAATGACATGTTTGCTTGTGTTCTAGATCTTTACCTATGAGCGCAAGTGGTATTCGCGTAAGGACCTCGCCCGGCACAGAATCCACGGGGACCCCGACGACACTTCTCACCGCGGCCACCCCCTGTGCAAATTCTGTGACGAGCGCTACTTGGATAATGATGAGTTATTGAAGCACCTGAGAAGAGACCACTATTTTTGCCACTTCTGTGACTCTGACGGGGCACAGGAATACTACAGGTTCGTGGGCACAGCTAGAGGGGCGCCCCAGATGGGAATTTGCCTGTGGCTAATCAGTCTTAAGTTTCTTGATGCAGCTGGCCAACCCAGAACCAGGTGCTTGTGCCCAGGTTCATAAGAAGAGACGGTGGTCAGGTGTGGAGGGCTAGCAGCCGCCATGAATTGTAGCTTCTTTTGACAGATGACTGCTCCTGGGGTAGCAGGAGAGGTTGGGGATGAAACTAGCCCACCCTGCACTTCAGTTACAGAATCCTTGACTGAATAAAATGGGTGAGGGTTTACATGTTCTCTGCTTGATAAGGAGTCAGGTTGAATCAAGCTTGGGAGTCAAGCCAGCCTCCACCTCCCCTGGTGAAAATGCAGCTGGAGACAGCTGGAAAAGTTCCTTCCTTTCTTCCTTTCATGAATCACTTCCAAGATAGCACCCTGAAATGATTAACCCTAAAAATAAGCATTTGCTCTCTCCTCATCACTGTTGAAGGTGACCACAGTGCTGGTTCTTTCCTTGCCACACTGCGGTCACCTTCAATGGACACAACTAGCTTTACTCACTAGCAGTATAGATGGCAGTCAAGTTGTCGTTCTTGAGGTTCAGAGCTGGCTTCAGTCTTGAATGGTCTGTCCATTGTTCTAAAAACCAAATTCTCCTAACTTTCCAATGTGCTGTAAATTTACAAAGCTGGGGCACACAAGGAGAACTCTGAACACTTCAGGCCTGACTGTAAACTGATCCTGCATAAGTATCCTTTGAAAAGTCTTGCCCTGTCAGAGCAAAGTTCTCTTCACTCAGCATTCTCTGCAGGAATCCCAGTGCAATATGGTCCTCCTAGAAATTGCCCAGGGGTCCAAATCCTGCCCAGCCCAATTTAGAGTGTTTCCATTTTCCCATCTGTATTTGTCACCACAAACTTGGGTCACATCCACACCATACATTTGAAGCACATGGCTTCTTTACCCCCCAGCAAATAATCCTGGGAGCTGTAGATTACCCCTTACAGAGCTACAATTGCCAGCATCCCTATACCATAGTTCCCAGGATTCTTTGGAGGAAGCAATGTGCTTCAAATCTGTTATGGTATGGACTTTCCAGGTACTGAACCAAGTCCACAGATAAGCTCACAGTGCATGCCTCCCCTCTACCCTTTTTGCAGCGATTATGAGTACCTCCGGGAACACTTCCGCGAGAAGCACTTCCTCTGCGAAGAAGGCCGGTGCAGCACCGAGCAGTTCACTCATGCCTTCCGGACTGAGATAGACTACAAAGCCCACAAGACGGCCTGTCACAGCAAGAACCGGGCAGAGGCCAGGCAGAACCGGCAGATTGACCTCCAGTTCAACTATGCGCTGAGGCATCAGCGGAGAAATGAGGGTACGCCATACTAGCCAGGCAGGGAAGGGCTGGCTGTTTCAAAGGACAAAGGCAATTCACTTCAGTGTTTTTCAGCTGTGTGATTATCATGGGGTGTTTGCATATTCTCTTAGAGCCTAGAAAGAAGTACTGGAGGCAAAAATCATGTTGGTTTTTTTGGCTGTGCTTTTGTAGGAGAACGGCATTCCATTGCAGAGGTGTCCCGAGCAGTGAACTAACTGGCCAAATTTTGGAGGCATCCAAGATGGAGGGTGGAGGCTGGCTTTAGGCTTGTGTTCTCTGTTTCCATCAGCTTTTGTGCTAATTAAGTGCAGAGCTGATCTGATAGAGGTGGATGTGTGGCCATGCAGCAGAGGCAGAAGCATATCCACTACCAGCGTTTTCCAAGCAAGTGCCACTAGCAGGACTAGGACAGAGCACAGAACAGGCAAGAGCAAGGTGATATAACACTTCAGCATCCCTTGCCCAAAGCATGGTGACTGGAAGAGCCCTGGTAGTATCGTTGCCTCTGATTAGAAACTAGACCTGTCTGTCACAAAATACCTCTCCCTACATTGACATGACAAGCCTGAGGAGCAACATTTCAGTTGCAGCAGACACATGGCCTGCATTTATAAAAGAAAAACAAAAAAACCCAAATCTCCCCAAATTGGTTTGAATGTCCCTAATTTGGCTGGGGGCAATTTGTAAGGCTTTGGCTGAGACGAGCCTAGGATCGATCTGATGCTTGTTAGCACATCACCTCCATTGTACCTATCCTATCCTGTGTACACACACACACACACACACACACACACTCACACCGGTGACTGATCCCATACAAGGTGGAAAATTGCAGTTTGAGGCTGACTGGCCCCGTATCTTTCTTGTCCCAGGTGTCGTGGGTGGTGAGGACTATGAAGAGGTTGACCGATACAACAGGCAAGTGAGAGGAGGCCGGTCAGGGCCACGAGGAGGGCAGCAAAACCGGAGAGGCAGCTGGAGATACAAGAGGTGAGCGACCTTCAGCCGGCCTTTGGGTGTCGTCTCAATGGGCAGGAAACTGGCTTGTGAACAGGGGAGCAAATCAGGATGTGACATGTACTGTCCCCTTAGTTTAAGGATGCAGTCAGAGCTTGCTGCCAGAATTGGACCACTGTCACGCTTAGCAAAAACCAAAGACTCAGGCCCAGGCAGGAAAGGTCAGTGCAAAGGAGGGTGTGTTGCAAAACCCCTTTTTCCTGTTTATAAAATCCACGTTCTGTTTTTTCTGTTTTAAGATACCTCACATGCAGCTTACGATGAAAGCAATAGAACATTGCAACAACCTATTGTACTTCTATAACACAATTTCCATGCATAAAACAACTTATAAAAATGCCTGCCTAAGAAAAAGAAAAACCCATTAGAAACCATGTGGGTTTGTTTAGGTATTAAGGACAGTGAGCTGTGCATTCTATTTGCATGAGGCTTTGGAGATGTGTTGCTTTTGCCAGCAGGTGGCAGCACCAAGCTGCCTATGGCTTTTATCTCCCCTGGAGTGGCAGCCCAGATTCTGCCAGCCCTTCTGTTTTTCCAGACTTCAAAGGGTTATCTCAAAATCTAGCATAACTTGTTGTACACCACCTTCTACAAGAACAGTATAGCATGATAACCTTTGCAGCAGCCTTCGCCAGCCAATGGGGCAATTCTCTCCCCTGCTCCTGTATGGACCAAGCTTGTTGGGTGGGCGGGGGCCGGCCTGCCAGTTGCCTGTTGTCAGAATGACAAGTGACCCATTTTCGCCCATGTGGTTTGGAATTAAACTGTGCGGGTGCAGCACTTGAAGCCTGGACAGTCAGCTGGTTGCTGGGGATGCAAAGCACTGCATGCAGCTGTAGGCAAGCACCAGCAATCAGTGCACAGGTCTTTGCAAGTGCCACTAATCAGCTGATGGGCAGTGTCTGTAAAGCCCTTTTCACCCAGCCTGAAAGGCAGGTGGGCATGGCTTGGCTTCATGGGCCAAGAGGGGAGGCTCTGTTGGGCCCGATTAGCCCCATGGGCTGAAGGTTCCCAACCACCTGGTTTATAGAGGTAGGAGACTTGCCCCTTTGACTCTGGCCTTTCTTGCACTGCACTGTTCAAACCCCTTGCAGGGAGGAAGAAGACAGAGACATTGCAGCAGCTGTCAGGGCATCTGTAGCCGCCAAAAGGCAAGAAGAGAAGAAGCGGGGGGAGGACAAAGAGGACGGCTCCCGTGCCAAAAAGGAAGATGCAAAAGATCTGGACTTGAGCACCTCCAAGCGGGGACCAAAACCTCCAGCTGATGTGCCAGGTGAGAGCAACCTCTGAGGGCCGGGGTGGGCTCAACACCAGGCAGGAGAGGGGCCGTATTTCAGGATGCTTGCTAGAATACAGTCTCTAAGTTAGGCCTGCCTTTCTGTTCTTCCTCCCAAGCTCCCAAGGAAACTGCTGCAAAGGCTGTTTTGAGCCAAGATGACTTTCCTGCCATTAACTCGACAGCAGTGGGCTCTGTGCAGAGGTGAGTTTTTGATCTAGTAGGATGACAGAGTTGGAAAGGGCCAAAAGGTCTGGCATATCACATATCATTTTGCTGCATGACGGGGGAGGTTTGCTTTTCTACACGTGGCTTTCTTCTTGCAGCTTGGCCCAGCCAGCCTCGGTGAAACTGGACGAAGAGGACTTCCCAAGCCTCTCTGCCTCCTCCTCAACTGCCCCCACGGTCTCATCAGCCATGTCCTTAACCTACACGGCCACAGCCAGGAGGTCGGCCTTTCAGGAGGAGGACTTCCCGGCCTTGGTGTCCAAAGTGCAGCCAAACATCAAGGCGGCCTCGACCCTCACCTCCGCCTGGAACTGCGGCTCAGGCAAGAGCATGGTGAAAGCCGTGCCCACCAGCAACTCCAGTGCCAGCCAACCGGCCAGGAAGGCAGCCCCCAGCAGCAGCGGCAAAGGTGGCAAAAAGAACAAGGCTGCCCTTTGCAGCGACGACCAGGAGAGCGGCAGTGGCCTGACTAGCCAGGAGATCCGCAGTGCTCCGACCATGGTCGACGTCTCCTCTCTGCTGGCGGCCTCAAATTCTCAGACTTTTGTCAAAGTGGGCAAGAAGAAGAAAGTTGGGGCCGAGAAGCCAAGGGTGGCCTCTCCCTCCATCTTGCAGGAAGCACCAGCCCCCATCCCTTCTGCGGAAAAGGCACCGGAAGCTGAGCAGGTGCCAACCTTGCCTGCCGACGCCGATGTACCAGCTATTGCGAACGGTCACTCAGAGAAGTGTGTGGGCACCTGCAACGCTTCTAAAGAGCCCCCTGGTTTGAAGAAGCCCCCAGTGGCCAGCCAGACCCTGCTGCCTCAGGAAGACTTCCCAGCCCTCGGAAACTCTGGACCACCCCGAATGCCTCCACCCCCAGGTAAAAGGCTGCAGGCTTCCTTCTCAGGTTTTGAGAAGAATTGTTCCTGGGGTGGTGAGTGTTCTGGGTGGGTGTGGGTGTGCAGACTCTTCCACCAGTACAGAATTTGGCCGCCTGAGAATCTCCACTATCACTTTTTCTAAACCGCTTTGAGGGGTTTATTTTACCATCAAGTGGTGTATAAATTATATGAAATAAATGAACAAGCAACAACTGTTTTGGCTGTAAAAAGATGTTTGAAAGCTTTTGAGCCTCAGCTGCAGAAATCTGAACCTAGGTTTCCCATTACCACGCACTGGACTAGGACCAGTTTTCTAGGGTGCCGCTTGAGCATGTACAGAGCAACCTGCCATGTACTACAAAAGAGCTATGTCTAAATCGCTGGCTGCAGATGCCATTGGTGCCGGATCTAACTGCTTGTTGTCTCCCCCACTCCCTTTTCCAGGCTTCAACTCTGTGGTGCTGCTTAATAGCCCCCCGCCACCTCCGGGACTGTCAGTGCCTCTTAGCAAACCACCCCCTGGCTTCACTCCTATTCCACCCACTAGCATCTCGGAGTCTGCCCCTGCTCCTGTGAAAGAGTAAGTAGTTGGCTCTTGTGTGTCGTGGTATTGCTGACTTGCATCTTTATGGAGTGGCTGTTACATAGGTCTTCAGGGACCCTCCCACCCTCTGGTATAGGATGAGGCCTGCAAAGGAAGAGGCCTTCTCTATGATGTCACCTCCATTATGGGAAGTTCTCCCCACAGAGGACTACCTGGCACCTTTAGTTTTTCCAGGTTTTGTAGACATAGGCTTGGTTTGCACATAACATTCAACCACAGTAAATATTGGTTAAACCATGGTTTGGTGTTCTGTGCAAATCCAACCCAGTGCCTTAAATATAGTTTATCATTGTTGTTTTATTTATATGCCACTTAATACCATTGTTTCTAGTTATGTTAACTATAAACCATAAGCCATGGCTCGTTAGCTCACTGGTGTTGCCTCTGAATCTGGGCAGTATTTTAGTTTCATACACTTTTTAAAAAAAATCTGGCTTTTAAGCCTCTTTATAAGCCCTTTATTTATTGTGTTCTTATTATGGTTCTTTAGACTTCCGTTATTCCTTTTTTTAGTTGTGTTTCAGGGTGGAGGTGGCATGTTCTTATGCAAATTGTCCTTGGAGTTTTTATGGAACGACACTAAAAATATTATTTTGCCATAAATAAATATCCAAGGTGGCGGTTTCGTAGAGGTTAGGGACTCTTTCTCAAACTTCTGATAGTTGAGGCACATGCTTTCCAAATTCAGAATGAGGGTGTGGGTAGGGTTCTTCTTCTTCTTGCATACAAAAAGTGTTACTTTCTAGAGCCATCTGTCCAAAACTGATGCTGCAGCAGATGGGGCTGTTGAATCTTATAGTCCAAAAGGGGACCAGGTTGGGGAATGCTGTTCTACTGTGTGTAAGGTAACAGCCACACCATAAAGCAGCATTACACTATTTGAAGAGTCATGGCTTCTGTCATCTTGGGAACTGTAGCTACTCCTCACCATTCCCTGCAGCAGCCTTAACAAACTACATTTCCCAGGATTCTGTGGGGGAAGCCATGTACTTTAAATGTATGGTGTTGATGTGAACTTAAGAGTTGGAATTGGCCCTCCCCTCCTGTGCTTCTACTGCCTCTGAGGAAAGTGGGATTGTGTGATTCAGGCACACCTGATGCTCCTCAGCACAGGCTGCTGAGAAAGGTGAGTGTGCCGGAAGAGGGACAGTCAGACCAAGAAGTGACAAACTCCCGTGCTTATGGATGAAAGCTATCTATCCTTGTTGCTCTACGCCAGGGGTAGGCAACCTAAGGCCCAGGGGCTGGATGCAGCCCAATCGCTTTCTCAATCCGGCCCGTGGACAGTCCAGGAATCAGCGTGTTTTTACATGAGTAGAATGTGTGCTTTTATTTAAAATGCATCTCTGGGTTATTTGTGGGGCATAGGAATTTGTTCATTTCTTCCCCCCCCCCCCCCAATATACTCTGGCCCACCACATGGTTTGAGGGACGGTGGACCAGCCCACGGCTGAAAAAGGTTACTGTCCCCCGCTCTACGCATTTCGGAGTACAAAACTCCAGGAGCTTTAAAAGCTTGCAAATCCTTTAGAACCAGAAACAAATTTTTCTCCCCCCGTGTTCACTGCAAAGATGCAAGGAAAAATGTGTTGTTTACAGCTGGTTTTTTAGTTCCAGTTTACAAACAGGGTGTTTCTGGTTCTAGGGAATTTGCAAGTGTTTCAGGCTCCCTCCTGAAAAAAGTTTTGCGCTCTAAAATGCATAGAGCAAAAGCAATATTTCATCCATAAGCACTAGAGCAGAAAGTCACACAGGGCTGCAGCTGGCAGCTTTCTCTATGGGTTGATAATTTAGTCCTGTTTTTCACAGTAGAGCAGCAGTTTTGCCATGTTTCAGGAATGTGCTGTGGCACACCGTTTAGGAATTACTGTAGGGAGAGGGAAACCTCAAAAGGGGGAAGCCTCAGATCAGTAACCATAAAGGAGTGTCAAGAGCCTCTCCAGGGAGCATCCTCAACAAGACACCTTTTCCTGATAACATCCAAGGATCCAGTTCAGATCTTGCATTTTTCCTCCCCTCTCAAAACAGGCCAAAACCTTGTCAGGGACCCTATTTGATCCTGGATAACTTCCAGCAGCGGAACATCCATCTAATCCAGTCAATCAAGGAATTTCTGCAAGAAGACGAATCCCAGTTCAACAAATTCAAGACATACTCCGGGCAGTTCAGGCAGGTGAGCAGCAGGGAGACCCCCTTAGATACACTTGCAAGACGATTCTACTGGAACATCCAGTGGCGAAGTGTTCTTCCCATGGGTGGCAGCATGTATCTGGGTGGGCCTGGGCTTGATGTTAAGCTTCTGCCTGTGTTTTAGCACGGTTTGGTGAAGTCATTGGTGGCTTTTTGTGGCTTATGGTGGGGTAGTGAGGTCAGAAAGCAGTGACATGTATCAACTGGAATCTGAAGGCTGCTCAGTGACATTGCCCTGGGCTCCTTTGGGAGGAAGGGTGGGATATATATGTAATTACTATTCATAATAATGATAGTGCCAGCACTTTGCTATCCCTAGCACAAGGTAAACCTGGATTCTGTGGTGAATCCCATAGAGCACTTACCTCTTGGTCACCTTACCCAGTTAGCCTAGTCAAACGCAGGAGATATACTCTCATCACCTGAAAAACAAGACCAAGGTACTTTTGTTGTACCAAAAGCAGGCCTGGAGAGCTGTTCTGGACCTGCTGCTTTTGAGCAAGTTGGTTTATAAAATCTCCTGGGGCAGTGGTGGAGGCTCTCCAGCAAGGGAGCTTCCTGTGGTTCTCTAGGAAATATACTTTCATGTTCCCAGATACTGGAAGCACTGCCAATAAGATCTGCTTATAGGAGCAGTCACTGTCAATAAGAGGCCATTTCATCTTCTCTCATGCTCCAAGGGTCCCTATGAAGCTGGGGTTGGGGGAAATCTCCCTAGTGACCCATGTGGTATCTGCAGGGGATTCACTATTTGCATAAACCTTTTGCCCAGTCGCCTTTTCAACAGAGACTTCAAGGGATCTAGGTGACCCTGCAATGTCTTGATGAGCATGGGGTTCTAGTAAACCATGAGCAGACTTGGGCTTGTGATTTAGTACATTTTTATAAATGCTCTGGGGGGGGGGGTGATAACTTTTTTGTCTCCGCTCCAGACATCATTTGCATGAAGGCTGTTTCCCCAGCCTCCTCCTGTTTTCTGACTGTCTAATCTCCTTCCCTCCTTTCCAATCCAAGGGTCTGATTTCTGCAGCTCAGTATTACAAGAGTTGCCAGGAGCTGCTGGGCGAGAACTTCAAGAAGATCTTCAACGAGCTCCTTGTGCTGTTGCCGGACACGGCCAAGCAGCAGGAACTGCTTGCCGCTCACAATGACTTGAAGGCCAGGCTGGGCTCCTCCGCTTCCCCCATTGGTAGATCCAGGAAGAACCGGAAGAGCGCCTGGCAGACAGACTTGGGCTCCGACCTCGACTGCTGCGTCTGCCCCACATGCCAGCAGGTGCTGACCCAACAGGACCTCCTTTCCCACAAAGCCCTGCATATGGAGGAGGAGGAGGAGTTCCCCTCCTTGCAGGCTATCAGCAGGATCATCAGCTAGCTGTTCCAGGCAACTAAATAAAGCCAGTCTCCATCTTTTAAAAATCGCGTTTCTTGGAAGGCAGGCTCTCAGAAGAGTGTAGAGCAGCCGGCTCTGTGGGCGGGCAGAGGGAGTTTGTGGAAGGTGCTGGCAGGCTAAAGGGGTTCCTGGGTGGCGGCAGCTGCGGCCGCTGGGGAAATCCAGTGACAACGGGCCTCCTGCCACAAAAATGGGCTGGAATTGCAAGTTCCCAGTGGGTGGAGCCTAGTTTGCCACCACCGTTGATGAATTAGCTAGTTTCTGACCTTGGCACAATACGGAAATATGGGCAGGGAGGGGTTGTTTTCATTTGTAAAAAAAAATTAAAAACCGGAAGGTTACCATTTTGGTTGCAGAAAGCCATTGAGAATGGCTCAGAAGCAGTCGCACATAAGATGTAAGTTGTGTAGGCCGCACAGGATGGAAGGGTGTTGGGAATGTAGAGCTGGGCAAAAGTGCCATGGCAAGTATGGATTTGGGCCTTTCCTCTGGCCTACTTTTGTCTCTCACTCTACTTCAGCTTTTTGGATGAGTTTCTTCCATCGACAGGGATGGAACTTCTTAAGAAAATATCTGCATCTAGACTTCAAAGCATTTTTTCTGTCAAGCTTAAATGTTTCTCCAAGGAAACCCAGATTTGTTCTGTTAAAACTGCATGTAGGTTTAAAAAATGGTATTCAATGCTTTTTCTTCTCTGTGTAAAATGTGCATTTCTGCCTCTGTGATGCGAGTTCAGTTATTTCCATTGTCTTTGAGGAATCTGTGCTGGCTTAGATCAGCCAGTGGTTGGCTCATTAAATGCTGCTCCACATTGACCACCATCCTATGTTGCCATCTGATGCCTTGAAATGCAAGCTTCCTAAGAGTTTACCTAGAAGCGGGTAGGAGAGAGCTGGCTGGGATCTAAATTCCACCCTGTCGCCAGGGAGAGCTTCCTCCTTTACATTGTCTCCACAGGGTAAGCAAACCTCAACAGCTCCATACAGAGACCTTTCCTAGTGGGCTACCTTGGAAGTGAAATACACTCACCAAGACCAGAGAAACACCAGCTGAGAGTGTGCAGCCTCTTGTTCAAGTCCAGGAAGAGAAATTGCAAATACTTTGGCAACAGGTAAAATCTGTCCCACCAAAAAACAACCCTTCGCATAGGAATTGTCACATGAGGGCAGCTAGTTTAGATCCCTCCCCTAAATCCAGGTTTGCAGAACATTTATTTTGCATTGTGGGTGGGAGAGGCTGCAAATCAGTCATGCCATTTCCACCAGCCTGTGGTATGAAATGGTAGAGTCCAGGCCCCCATTGGACCAGCTGCTGAGCTGCTTGTCCAAACTCAATTTTTTTCCAGTTTATCTGCCACCTTGTTGTATTGCTCAAGGCTTGATGTCAGCAGCCTTTCACTTCAGTATTTTCAAGTAATTATTATTTTAAAGATCTTATATCGGGATGTCTTTACTGAATCCACCTGGCTCTTTAATCAAAAAATGCTTGACACAATTTAGTAGCAGTTCTGCACAAGTACTGCTGAAATGGGGGGGGGGGTTTACAAGAACTCCCTGTTTGCTTTAGAGGGGTGGAAGAGATCTAAACCAGGCTTCCTCAAACTCGGCCCTCCTGATGTTTTGAGACTACAATTCCCATCATCCCTGACCACTGATCCTGCTAGCTAGGGATCATGAGAGTTGTAGGCCGAAAACATCTGAAGGACCGAGGGTGAGGAAGTCTGATCTAAACCTTGGATCATTCCCACAATTTTAAGAAAAAGTTACTTAACTGTTACACATCCAGTCATGGCTCCAAAGATGATCGTTAAGATTTGCTCAGTAATGCAGGACTTATCTTGAGGTGGTTTTGTTAAGTACTACTTGACTAAAACTAAGAATGTAGGGTACTTTGGACCTTTGCACCACATGTACAGGGTGTGTTGGAAAGGAAGGCAGGGTCATATTTCCTGTGGCCCCACCAAACACGGGAAACAAATACACACACTTCCCACAAACATGGGAAACCTGCTGAGTTAAGACTCCTGGTTATGTGGGAGACCAGAACAGCTCACCAAATGTTCTCACTGATCCTTTGATACATCTAGCTGTATGTCTGTGCTCATTGTGCCCATCAAGAAGAAGTTTGGGAGGCCCCATGTAGCAGGTAGAATGCTCTCCCCCAGAGCAGTTCTGTCTGCTCTGGCTTATTGAAGGCAACCACAGGCATCTCACCTGAGTCCCATTGGAAAGAGTGAAATAAAATCAGGCAGCTGTTCTTGGCAATTGTCTTCCCCTCTTTTTCTGTTTTAAAGTGCAGAAATAGTATGAAATTGAACATACAACTGGCTCTGACTCACAAATAAGTTTCCAGCTCACAAATAAGTTTCCAGTTTCTAGCTGGTCTGCTGTGGTTAAAACTTCTCAACTGTTGGGGGCTTTAAAAAGCCAATGTCTGTCATGTGTCACCCTGCCTGGTTTAGATTCTTACTATTTCTATCCGCTATTTATAAGCATCCTTTAGCTGTTTCAGTCAACCACAGGTCTCTCTCTTCCTTCCCCCTTTACACTCGATCCAGCAGAATGTCAAGAGGTCTTGAGCTGTTCATTTGTAAATGTTTATTGAAAAATAAGTTGCAGTTGGTATACAGACAATTAAAATAACACAGTCACAGAGTGATGCTTTGTCTTTCCAAAATGTTATATCTATCTATCGTTATATATACAGACAAAAATAGAACTATAAACATTGAAAGCCCCTATGTTCACACAGTTCACTTTTCTACCACAGTGCACGTTGGGTCACTAACAACTGCAACTTTTTGTTGTGTGTTTGAAGCAGTCTGCTTTGGAAGGGAGGTATCTGTATGTTTGGTATCCTATTAAAAACGATGAAAACGATGTGAGGTCAAACTGCATACTTGCAGCAAAATGAAAGGGAGGCTTCTTTCTCTCTCTCTGTACTAAAAAGGTATTATTGGGCCTTGCTCACCCTGAAAGGCTTTCTCTTGTCTGTCTCTGTGGTAGCCTCTACACAGTCTATTAAAGGCAAATGAGTGAACCTTTGAGCAAAATGAGTTTCCCCTGCCTGTATATTGCAGGACGTCAAAAGAGGCGAAGGGGTTTTCATAAAGATGCTCTGTATTGGAATGGAAGGAGCAAAGGGCTTATAGGTAGCTGGAGTTAGCCTGGTGAGAGTTAACCTGTTTCTACTCCTGCAGCATAAAGACTTGGCAAACATTAAGTGATCGACTTTGCCATTCTGTGTAGCACTTGGAGGATTAGGTGATGGTGTTTCCTCATGGAAGGGGAAAGGGTGTCTGTGAGACTGTAGTAAGGCTTCTGACAGCCCCACAGGAGAAAGGACAGAACTGGGTTAGGCCACACCATGATTATTTCCTTAAAAATATGATGGAAGAGGTTGCTGCGCTCATCTCGACAAGCATGGCTTAGAAGACGTGAGACGGTTTTCTGCGGCCGCAACCAAGCGTGACAACTTTCTGCTCCCGGCGTAATTAGAAACTTGGGGCATGTTACTCTTATTTTGCTCTAGCATGCTAGTTGCAGGATGCTCGACCAGGTGACTGCAAAGCCAGTGTGGTGTAGTGGTTAGATTGTCACACTAAGATATGAGAGGCCAGGGTTCAAATCCCCACTCAGTTACACAGCTCACTGGGCGACCTTGGGCCAATCACTGCCTCTCAACCTAACCTACCTCTCAGCATTGTTGGGGTTAATTGAGGAGGAGGAGAACTATGTATGCCACCTTGATCTTGGAGAAAAAGGACTATAAACGAAATCAGTCAATCAACCAACTGCGGTCTTTCAGCAGACTGATGTGGGCCTCTTCTAGCCTGAAGCAACTGCATGTTGAGCTTGCAGCAGTCAGGACCAGAGCTCTGGCTCTATCTGGATTTCAGAGGAGGATGAGGTCAGCCAGCCTTCCTCCAATTGCACTTAGCAGGCGTTTGCCATAAAGCATGGAACCCGTTCCCAAAGCCTGCTTTCTTTGTGCAGTGGGGCTGGCATGTCATTAAATGTATTTCCTGCACTTCACCAGCAATGCTGGGTTACAACAATTTAAAATTCAGTATTAACAACAGTTAAAAAGAAATGGCAGTCACAGGAATAGGGTGGGCCCTGAAAATACACCCTGGGTGTCAAAAGTCAGCTTTCACCACAAGGTGTTGGTTTGACAAATAATCCTGACTGCTTTTTAAAACAGGTGGTTGTCGCAATGGCTCTAGTCAAGGCTTTTGGCTGTGCTGGGTGGAGGCTACTGGCAATTTCCTCTTCAGGGTAAACTCTGAGCTGCGATTTGCCCTGAGTGCCAGAAGCAAGCTGTGGCACCTTCACCCCAGCCATGTGAGTTTGTGGTCCCGTTGAGATAAGAGGCAGCTTTTCCATACTCTGAGCTGTTGTGCACGAAGAGCATTGATGGCAGTGCAAGGCAGGCATTCCCAAGTTGCAAAAAACCCCTTTGGGCACACCAGAAAGTTATTTTGACACATTTTGAATGCCTGGATGAGCATCACAAAAGCAGCACAGGTGCCGAGAACTGATGGGGTTTGACCAGCTCCACACCCCTTTGTGAAAGTGCCCCCCCCCCCTTTAAGCCGTGGGTTAATGGTCTCTGGCAGAAAGATGGATGGGAGATAAACACTGAGCACTGATCTCGAGAAAAACAGGAATGGGGCAGGGGGAACTAGCAGGACAACTTACCAACAGCTCCTACTCATTATCTACCATGTAATCTATAATAATGTATTTTGGTTAGAGCTCTGTGTACACAGTTCCTCTGACGAGTCCCTGTTACATGGCTTGAGTCGCAAAACAATGGCTGAGTGCTGATAGGAGCACATGGAAACAAGGAGAGCGAATGCTTTTAACGCCTCCGGCAGCGGCTTTTTGCTTTAATTGCAGAGTGGTGGCAACAGGCCAAAGTCTCATTGGCTGGTTTACTTAACTTGGCAAACCTACACAAAGGTTCAGCATGATAATTTGAAAGACGTAAGGATTTCGAAGCCCAGTCACACCCAACTAGTCAGCTCCCTGCCTTTTCTCCAGTGGTAGGAAACAAAGCAAGTTATTTCTGGAAGTGCAGTTTGTGAGCCTCACCTTGATTCGACAGATCCTTGCTAACCAATTCACCAATGCCGTTTTCACCACCTATTTAGGGGGCCCACAGCTTTCTCTACTGGCTTGTGGCAACTATTTCCCCCTTACAATGCCAGACAGGAAGGCCACTTGGGTGCTGGGTTTGCCCAGCAACTGCAATCAGTGATACATGCATGCCACCTGATCTCTTGCAAGGTATAGACAGGTTTGCCTACTGCATCATCTAACTAGCACTGCCTTTAAAGCAGAGGCTTTCCTTATTGGTGCAAATGGAATGTGTCATCCCAAAACATCCAGGTTGAGGAAGTCAGAGCTATGGTTACAAGAGAAACACCATTTGCATTCAGGGGATAAATTTAAGTAGCTGCTATGCCTTTTTACAAGCAGGGTGTGGGGAGAGAATATGTTTTAGGATTACGGTTGTGGCAAAAGAATTCAAAGGAGAACCACAACTTGCCAGCAATATTTTTCCTGGCAAAAGCAGGTGAAATCAGCTCATTCATCTATTACTTGTCAGCCTGGATAGTTTGCCCACACAATAAAAAAAGGACTGACTGGCCAATATATAACTTTAGCCAAGTATATATTATTTTCCTGCTCATCTATCCCTCCCCCCAAAAGATAAGCTTGTAGATTATCTAAATTTGCCCCAAATGCCAGTCCCCTCAAGAGTCCTTCCTGTTGGCCCAAGCAGCAAGCACCTTTGCCACTCCAAACTGAGAACCCCAAATCAGCTTTCGGATGGAGCCTGAGCATCATCCTACCAACTTCTGCACACCTTTTTCCAAAGTATGCAGGTGAACATGCAAACATCAGAAGAGCCTGCTGGATTAGGCCAATGGCCCACCTAGTCCAGCACCCTGCAGCCTCTTCTCACAGTAGCCAACCAGATGTTTCTTCTGGGAACTCTGCAAGAAGGACCTGAGCACAACGGCGGCAGCTCTCCCCTCCTACAGTTTCCAGCAACGGCCATTCAGAAGCATTGAGGTCTCCAACCATGAAGGCAGAGCTTAGCCATCGTGGCTAGGAGCCATTGATAGCCTTCTCCTCTGTGAAATTGTCCAATCCTCTTTTAAAAGCCATCACGGCCTCCTGTGGAAGGAAGTTCTATAGTTTAACTATGTGCTGGGTGAAGAACCTAAAGCAGAGTTGTGGAAGTAGGGGCCCTGCAGATGCTGTTGGACAATAACCCTCATCAGCCCCAGCATGACAGTGGTTGGGGCCTTACGTTAGCCTTCTCCAAGCTGGCGCCCTCCAGGTGTTCTGAACTACAACTCAGCCAGACTGGAATGGGCAATGGGAATTAAGGTTTCTGAAGAATCAACTTCACAGTGATGCTGGGCCTGTATCTTACCCAGAGCTTCCCAAATACAGGAGAAGGCGGGGTGGGGGGAGTATTTTGGCTTTTCCATCAGTGGCCCCGAAGTCTCTTGCACTTGTCCTTAGTCCTGTCTAAATGACACAGCTTTGTATAAACCGCAGTGCTAATCGTGGGGAGGTTAGGAATGGGTTGGAAAGGAAGAGAATACAGATGTAGGCATTGAGGTGCATACATTCAAAATTGTAATATAGAACACATTAACACTACTGACCAAGGCAGTTCTACTAGTCAGACAGAACGTAATCTCTTTCTTTCTCTTTACAATTAATACAAGGATACTCTGAATGGATTTCTTTATAGTTAGAAAAAATACACTTTACTGAACAGACATTTATTTCACATATACAATCGATTTAAAGAAACATTTAAATGTATTATACTTTTGTGACTTTGTGTGTGTGTGTGTGTGTGTGTGTGTGTGTGTGTTTGTCTGCCCTCCCTCCCCCCCCCCCCCGAAGAAATATTTAGACACAATTTTGTATACTGCTAAAATGCCAGTGTTCTCTCTAAGGAAAATATTGCTACAGTTCTATGTGTACCCTGTATTAATACCATTCTCTGTATCAGTGTAAACCCTATATAGGTCTTTGTCCACAAGACTAATGGCCTTCCATTGTAAAATCTGAAAGACTGAAATGGGACACTCTTAGTTCCAGCCAATTTGGCCACCTCCACGGAAATATTGTTTATCAAACTGTTAAGGGTATATGTCCACGAAAGCTTCCTTGCACATGCAGCTCTCTCTTACTGGATTGGGGCCCTATCTTCATGGTGGGATTTCAGAGATCAAATTTCTCCAGAGTTACAGCTGAATGAGAATGGCAGGTTATCGGGATCCGCCTTAATATAAAATAATTTACATCTTGCTGCTGAAATCACTTTAAAAGGCAGCGTCGTTCTATTTCAGTTCACTTACCCATCTTCTCATAGTTTTTAAGCCCACTCTCTTTGTAACCCTTAAGCATTACTACATCTTCATGGGAATTTAGCCTTTTCTCTCTAGTTTCTGACTTCCAACTGTCTTTTCGATTTCTCTTGTCTGCCACAGTGAAACTTTTTGCCCAAACTTTCTTTACAGAGTAAGGCTGGAACTATTCCCAACAAATACTGTGGTGCACGTTATTCTACTCTGTTTTTTAAAAAATGGCCTCTACCAGACACAACCATTTTAAATGGATGGCGTGGAGGGGCTGCCAAAATGGCCGCATACTGATAGCGGTGGAATTTTTATTAAGAAAAACCAATTTATGGGTGCCATCTTGAGGCCCACCATGTCGAAAATGGCCTGTAACAAGAAGCCTCCACTCCTGCTGCCATTCCCTCAACAGACATATTTCTTCCTTTACGCTTCCATCTTTTCCCAGACTGCTTGAAGTGTGTCCCCCATCTCTGAGGCAGAGGCAGAATTGGTGGGCTGGATCACACTCCTCATGAGGATATGATGAGGACCCTAGCAGTTAGCAAGCCCTATTTTTAGACGACAGCTGAGCTACTGAATGCTACATATCCCCACTGCTAGGAGACTCTTAAAGGCTGATGGCCTGACAGTGTGACTGTTTCCCCACCCTCACCCCAGAGCAGTAATTTTTCTGTAAAAGGTGTACAAAAATGATTCTTGCATCAAAGCCATTTGGAAAAGAAAGGAAAAAACTTCCTGCGGTACCAGAATCGCAAAGCTAACACAGCTAATACAGAAGGTTTTTTCACTCATTTAGCACAGGAAATATGCCAAGAACATAACACACACACACACAAATGAAATCAACACAACCATTATTTTTGGTTATAAATTTGGCACATTCCTTTTGAAAACAGTCTTCCCCAACTGGGTTCCCTCCAGATGTTTTGGACTCCCTTCAGCTCCCACTGGGGATTATGAGAGTTGGAATCCAAAACAACTGGAGGGCAAGAAGGCTGCTTTAAAACTACCTTTTTTCTAGGGCTATAGAGCAAGGGAATAAAAAAATAGGAGAGGATGACCTGGAAGGTTCCTAGGATGAAGACAGTGGGAGCAATTTTCTGGATTAAGCCCCGGAAGCACAAAATAAAGCATCTACTTATCTGTGTAAGGAGTGGGACGTCTCTTAACAGGCTGGGCTATTGCCAGCTTGTGTGTGCGAATTCAGGAAAAAAATGCCACAATGAGCCAAGATCGCAGGGACGGCTCACAAAGATGGGAGTTGGTAGCAACCATCCTAACGTTTCATGCTTAGAGGGAACACTGTTGTTGTTTTTTTAAAAAAAATATTCAAAAAATATCCTCAGACAGGTAAGACAAGAACCAATACCACTGTAGAGAATTCACTGCACCATTAGCTAAGAGTAAGTTGAACCCAGTTACGTTAACTTGCCACATTAATTTTTTTTGTTTTTAAAAAAGAAAAGGTACTTTAGAACACACTTACAACCAACCAGTTGACTATACTGCACCATGAAAGGGAAAGTTGCCCCATTTCTCTGGGTCGGGTTCCCATTTGCTATACAACCTTGAGGGAGGGAGAGGACTTCCTCCTGCCCTTCAATATGCCGGCACCTGGTAGCCCTTTGGACTGGTGTCTAGGGTCTCCGAGAAGGGGGGGCTCTGGTAGGTTTCTGTGCTCTCCACGCCGCTGCCGGTGGGGTAGCCTGGGTAGGCCGCGCTGGGGTCGGTGGGGAACTGGTCCGTGGCGAACAGGGACATGTCGGTTCCCAGCCGGTATCTTTGGAGCGCCTTGAGGGCCAGGGCAACCTTTTCCGGGGAAGACAAAGGTTTAGGTCAGCAGCTCCCAAAACGTTCCCTCAACTCATTCCCAGTAACCCCCAACCCTGTAATAAAAAAAAGGGTTGCTCGGATTGGGGGTTTGCACAACCCACTAAGGAAGATAAGGACACAATAAAGTTCAAAAACAGTAGCAAGCGCACATCTATTCAAAATCCAATTAAAATTATTTAGTTTCATTAATTCAGCAAAACTGACAAACTTGATCCAGCAACACCAGCTTTTCAAACTCGGATAGTCATTTACGTTGTGAACAGCTGTGAGATCTATGGGTAAAGGGTGGTATACAACTTGTTTATACAAGTTGTTGTTGTTGCTGCTTTATTATTTTACACCCCTGCGTCTTAGTGCCTCCTTAAGTAATCCCACTGGTACCACCTGATTTGGGAACCACTGAGTTAGTTTTCTCACAGGCAAGGGGCTGTTGGCTCAATATATTTATTTAAACATTTATAGACCACACTTTTCATTTAAAATAGAGCGGTGTGGACTACAAAAAGCAAAATAACGTCAATAAAAACTGGTCATTACCTCCATCATGCCCTCCCTTGCTGGCCCTCTGGATGTCGCCAAACTATGTAAGGACCTAAGAGTCTGCTGGATCAGGCCAATGGCCCATCTAGTCCATCATCCTGTGATCTCACAGTGACTGCCTCTGAAAATGGAGGCAAAGGATAGCCAACAACAGCAACTCCCATCAGCCCTAGCTGGTATGACCAACGATCAGAGATGATGGGAGTTGTAGCTCAGCAACATCTGGAGGGCCCAAGGTTCTCCCCACACACCAGTTTTAGGCAAATACTGACACAACACGGACAGTGTGATGTATCTAGGAGGCTCTGCATAACCAGGAAGGCAGAATCCCATCGTGTAATTTGGAAGGTGGGGTCTAGCACAGGGCAGACTGGAAGGACGAAGCCTTTCGAGATCCTCAGGTCAGTCTTCCATGCCTCCTTTGCCAAAAATGTTCCCCATCTTTTTTCTTTTTGAAAGGATGCATGTTTAAAACGCAAACCGTGCAAGACACAAATGCTGCAATGCTTCCCTTCAGATCAGAGCATTCTGTTAACATCTCCCTTAGCAGCTCCTGACAGTATGAAAGGGGAAGAAATCCGAGAGCGTTTGCTGTTAACTGTCAACACCCCCTTGGAGTGGCTTGAAAAGGCAGGCAAAAGCGGGAAGAGGATCTTGAAAGGCCACATGCCACATCAGATCAAAACACGGACTCCTGCGCCGCATTGGGCACCTCCTGTGGAATCCGGCACATTTTAGGACATAGGAAGCCATGCACTTTGAAGGTGCTTGAATGTCTGGCATGGATGTGACCCATGTCTGCTTGGCCTGGAGAAGAGAGGATTGGCTGATGGAGGGAGGGGGAGATGGTCACCTTCTTTGGATCCCTGAAGCGCTGTAACATACAGGAGGACAGAGACTTCCGAGGCTTCTCCAGCTTCTACTGAGCAGCTAAAAGGACAATCTTATGCCTGTTCACAGGGCTATTTTGCATAGCTCAGTGATAGAAAATCGACTTTGCATGCAGAAGGTCCCAAGTTTAACCCCTGGCATCTCCAGGTAGGGCTGGGAATGTTTCCAGCCTGAAACCTTGAAGAGCCACTGCCAGTCAGTGTGGGCACTATTGAGCTGAATGGACCAAAAGTCTGGCTTCCTAGGTTCTATAGTTCAGCGAGTAGGGCCTTGCATGCAGAAGGCCCCAGGTTCTATTCTCAGATCTGAGGGTAGGATCCCCAGGTCTGAAACCCTAGAGCGCTGCTGCCAGTCAGTGTGGGAAGTACTGAGCTACAGTAGATGGACAAATAGTCTAAGAACGTACGGAAAGGCTTTCAATTGGATTGGGCCAATGGACCATCTAGTCCAGCATCTTGTCCTTATAGCGGCCAACCAGAAGCCTCAGGACTGGAGCACTTTCTGACTCAGCAGGGCTGGGGGAAAACTCCTGCCTGACTCCTTGGAGAGCCACTGCCAGTCAAGGGCTGCAGACCATCCTGAGCTAGACAGATGAAGGCTCTGACTCAGCATAAGACTGCTTCCTCTGTCACTGTGTATTTAAGGGGATTGGCTATAGCTCAGCGGATGAACATTTGCACTGCATGCAGAACGTCCCACAGGATAGCTCAGTTGGTTAGAGTGAGGTGCTAGTAATGCCAAGGTCACAGGTTCAATCTCCATATGGGACAGCTGCATATTCCTGCATTGCAGGGGGTTGGACTGGATGATCTTCAGGGTCCCTTTCCAATTCTACAATTCAGTCCCCACAATCTCCAGGCAGGGCTGGGACAGACTCCCGGTCTGAAACCCTGGAGAGCTGCTGCCCGTCATTGCAGGCATTCCTGCGCTAGATGGACCAGTAGTCTGATTCAGTATAAGGCTGCTTCCTGTGTTCCCATGTCATAGCTCAATGGCAGAGTCCCCAATGGCATTTCCGGATAGGACAGGGAGAGACTGCAAAGCGGATGCTGGTCATTGCAGGCATCTAAATACTGAGCTTGAAGGACCAATGGCCTGGCATCATACAAGGTAGATCCTGACATTCCAGTTCAATAAACCCTAGATTCAGAACCATGAGGACTGGACTCTTGATTTATTTCCAAGGGATGGTTCTTAACTCCACAGCAGAGCATTTTTTTGGAAAAGCAGGAGGTCCCAGGTTTGGTTTCCGACAGCATCTCCAGGTAGGCCCTCCCTTTCAGTCCAGGGCCCTTTCTAGTTCTGCTGGATCTCTCAGCAGCCTTTGATACCATTGACCATGACATCCTTATGGACCGTCTAGAGGGGCTGGGAGCTGGGGGCACTATTATACAGTGGTTCCGCTCCTTCCTCCTGGGCCGTGGTGTTGGGGGCTCTCACTTGTGGGGTGACTCAGGGTTCCGTCCTCTCCCTCATGCTTTTTAACATCTATATGAAGCCACTGGGAGAGATCATCAGGGGGCTTGGGCTGGGTGTTCATCAGTATGGAGATGAAACCCAGCTCTACCTCTCTTTCAAAACAGAACCAGTGAAGGCAGTGAAGGTCCTGTGTGAGTGCCTGGAGGCAGTTGGAGGATGGATGGCGGCTAACAGATTGAGGTTGAATCCTGACGAGACAGAAGTACTGTTTAGGGGGGACAGGGGACGAGCAGGTGTGGGGGACTCCCTGGTCCTGAATGGGGTAACTGTGGCCCTGAAGGACCAGGTGCACAGCCTGGGAGTCATTTTGGACTCACAGCTGTCCATGGAGTTGCAGGTCAATTCTGTGTTCCAGGCAGCTGTCTACCAGCTCCATCTGGTACACAGGCTGAGACCCTACCTGCCCGCAGACTGTCTTGCCAGAGTGGTGCATGCTTTAGTTATCTCCCGCTTGGACTACTGCAACGTGCTCTACATGGGGCTACTTTTGAAGGTGACCCTAAAACTACAAGTACAACTACAACTGCCAGATAGGTGACTTGGAGTGGCCGCCGAGACCATATTACACCAGTCCTGAAAGACCTACATTGGCTCCCAGTACATTTCCAAGCACAATTCAAAGTGTTGGTGCTGACCTTGAAAGCCCTAAACGGCCTTGGCCCAGTATACCTGAAGGAGCGTCTCCACTTCCATCATTCAGCCCGGGCACTGAGGTCCAGCTCGGAGGGTCTTCTGGTGGTTCCCTCACTGCGAGAAGCAAAGCTACAGGGAACCAGGCAGAGGGCCTTCTCAGTAGTGGCGCCCGCCCTGTAGAACACCCTCCCATCAGATGTCAAGGAAAGAAACAACTATCTGACTTTTAGAAGACAGCTGAAGGCAGCCCTGTTTAGGGAAGTTTTTAATGTTTGAAGTTTTATTCTGTTTTCAGTCCTCTGTTGGGAGCCGCCCAGAGTGGCTGGGTATAAATAAAATATAGTGGTACCTCTGGATACGAACGGGAACCGTTCCGGAGTCCTGTTCGCATCCTGAAGTAAACGTAAGACGCAGCTGCGCGTCTGCGCATGCGTAGGTTGCGTTTCGCCGCTTCCGTGCATGCGCATGACGTCGTTTTGAGCGTCTGAGCATGCACGAGCGGTGAAACCCGGAAGTAACACGCTCTGTTACGTGCAGGTCGCCGCGGAGCGCAACCCGAAAATATTCATCCCGAAGCTACTTCAGCCCGAGGTATGACTGTAAATTAATTATTTATTATTATTATTATTATTATTATTATTATTATCATCATCATCATCATCATCATCATCACTACTACTACTATTATTATTATTAGTATTCCACACATCACAGGATCACCACTGGACACCAAAGCTTACCCAGGAGATGATGGAGAAAAACGAGAAGGCAATGGCCGCCCTGGCCGCATCACCTGCGTAATGTGCTGCTTTGCTCGATGTCGTCCTCTGCCACTGGTTGGCCAGGAAGCAGAAGCCCACAAACCACAGGAAGGACCAGAACCCTGGTGGGAGGAAGCAAAAAAACCACACATCAGGTCACCCCAGTACCACCAGAGCAACAAGAGTCACTGTTTTCTCCCTCTCACATGCACAATACACCATGGCACAGAACCTTGTCAAATGCTAAGCAGCATTATTATAGTTCATGTACTGTATATCCACCTTTGGTAGTGTACGTGGTTCTTCCCTTCCTCACAACAACCCTGTGAGGTAGGGTAAGCTAAAGCTAAGTAAGGTGAGGTAAGTAAGTAAGGCTGAGGAAGGAGAAGATTGAGCTTCATGGCTGAGCAGAGATTTAAACCGGGTCTACCAAGTCCCAGTTTCGGCATCCTTAACCATTACACCTCTCCCCAGGCTCTCATCATCCCTGTCTGGGTCTTCAAGCGCAGTGCCTTTTATTTGCATTTTGACGATTCTGTTATGCTGTCTGTATCCTTATGCTGTAAGCTTCTCTGGGTATACAACCACTGAATGACATACAAACAACAAATTATTGCAGTTAACAGCTGCAGGGCAAGGAGCTTTCCACAGCATGGAAGTTATGCAATTTGTAAAAGGCATAGGAGCTCCCCAAGGAAAAATAAGTTGGCTAAAGCACCGCGGTAATGCGTGCTGGATGTCCTGCTCGAATCCTGGCCATTTCCTGTGAAAGGATCAGGTGGCAGCGCTAGGAATGGGCAAATCTGTCAATTGCAGTTTCTCAATTTCCCAGTTCTTCGCATTTCCATATCCATTTGCAGTTTCCCCTGAAGCCCTCCAGCATTTAAGTATCCTAATATACACATGTTTATGTGCGATTTCCCCTAAAACCCACTTGTTTGCAGGGCAACGTTCCCTAGTATAATGCATTTCTGCATGTTATCTGCTCTAACATATGCATTTCAGGCACACTTTCTAGTGCAAGCACTTTTGTACACAACACTTAGCAGGAGAACTTGCACTGCAAAATTTGGAGAAGTATGAATTTCAAAGGATGGCTGGGCTTCCGTTTGTTGTTTCAGGAAATGAGAATTAGGTAGGTTTGTCTTTTTATTTATTTCCCAAAACTTACATAGTGCTCAATTGGGTTTGGTTTTTTTAAAAAAAGACATCGAAGTGGTTTATGAAAAGAACAATGTAATCGTAAGTGAAATAAAGAAAAACAACTATTTAAAGCATTCAAAAAACACTAAGCTAAAACCAGCTAACAACACTTGGCAACCTTCTACATACCTGGATGGGCTTGCTGAAACAAAAATGTTTTTAGCAGGCGCCGAGAAGAGTATAATGAAGGCCCTTGCTTGGTGACACTAGGCAGAGAGTTCCCAAGTTCGGGTGTTGCCTCACTAAATGATGGATTTCTTATGAATGAGGAACGAGTGTTTCACAGCACTTCAAATGCGAACTGAATTGAATTTCTCCCCCTTGCCTAGTGAGTAATGTTGCCCCTTTCTCCCTGAGCCACCGGGAAGCTGCTTCCAAACAGATTACACGATACTCTGCTGGAGACGTCCATGGTGTGATAAGCGTATGGCCATTTCATAATACCTTACTTGTACGTTACAGCATCACCCTCCTGGGTACAGTTAGCTGTCAAAGCGACGTCTCTGTTGGAAACACCGACACTTAAGCTTGATTTAAGGAACAGCAGAGTCAGTTAAAGAGCACCAGGCTGCATATGCTCCACCTTCACTACAACTGGCTCTGTACTGTGGATTCAGCACTGTGAAGCCACCACAGTTAGGAGGAGTTTTTAAGGACCTGCAGCTTAAAAATCAGGCTGCAGCTGCCCTGCAAGCGAATATTGGGGGGGGGGAGCGGGTGTGTTGACTTGCCTTGTGCTTCCCTAAGCTGGTGCCCTCCAGATGTTTCGGCCCAAAACTAGAGATGGGGAGAAATTCGATTTGCGTCACATTTAGAGACCCGCCAACTTAATTCGTAATTTCTGAAACAAGGTGAGAACCAAAACAGAAGCACCTTTTGAAATTCGCACTTCAGTTGCAATACAGTTCTCTAGCCACGGGATGTGCACAAAGAGTCAAATACTAGGGGAAAACACGCGTCAAAATGCTTATTTTAGAGAAGATGACATGCAGAAATGCATTAGAGTAAGGGAAACTGCTTTGCAAAAGAGGCGAGTTTTAGGCAAAATTGCAATGCAAGCAAGTATAAAATGTACACTGCTTTCAGCTCCTTGGAGTCCAAAATGGCCGTGTTGGGTGGTGACTGCTGTGAGTTGTACTCCAAGACATCTGGAGGAGGGGCTCAAATTGGGGAAGACTGTCCTCAGCAAATCCCACCCCACAGGTCCTACCTGAGAAGCCAAGGTCAAAGAGGACAACGCGTTTCCTGTCCTTCACACTGCTGATCTGCTGGAAGTAGAGGTCCACTACCAAGAAGAAACTGCAGGCTAAGAAGGCAATGAGGCCAATGGCGATTCCATAGTTGCAGGCGTCATCGTTGTTGTTGTAGACACAGCGCAGCACCGGACTGCTGCCATCGTTGACGTAACCCTCGTTGAGGATGGAGCCAAAGACAACGATGGAGAAAACCTGAACAGAGGATTATTTTGTTGTGGGGGAGGAAAAGGAGGAACAATATTCAACTGAAAGCTCACCTCTCCCAAGATAAACCATTTCAGGCCCCTACGGTTGGGAGGGGAGACCTGTTGGTGATGCCGCTGGATGTGATCCATGACAGGGACTTCTTGGTAGTGGTTCCCTGTTAACAGAATGCCCTCCCTGGAGGGCTGCACCTGTCCCCTTTCCTTTGGGCCCTCTGATTTCCGGTACTTTCTCCATTCAGCTTTCCGTCTCTCGTCCTGCATTGGCCGAGCAGCTGCAGTGTCACAGAATGCCCACAAATATTCTAACTTCTGAGTGGTACATAGACAGTTACAAAACAATGCAGCTTCTGTGACAATGAGAACAAAAAAGGCTGGTTTATTTCATCCAAAGCCCCCAGGCCTGCAGCGGCAGGATATGCTTTTCCAGTGGGATGAAAGAGTGAGGGCTTGAAAGCTGCATAGGCCTTAAAGGGTAGGTAGTCAAGAAACTGAGGAAAGTTCCTCAGGAATAAAGGGCCAATGAGAAAAATGGGAGGTGGGTTTAGGGGGAGGAAACACACAGGCCGGAGCCAGTGTTGAAAAGGCCCTGGCTCTGGTTGAAGCTAATCTAACTTCCTTAGGGCCCGGGACCACTAGGGTGTTGCTATTTATGGACCTTAAGGCTCTCTGTGGGGCATACCGGGAGAGGCGGTCCCGTAGGTACGAGGGTCCTAGGCCGTGATGGGAAACTATAGGGAGCCAAGAGACCTCAGTGTGCATGCAACCGGGGTGCAAAACACTGGTGTGCATGACGTTCATGAGAACATCAGAAGAGCCTGCTGGATCAGGCCAAAGAGGGCCCATCTAGTCTAGCATCCTGTTCTCACAGTAGCCAACCACAAGCAGGATTCAGCTAGGAGAGCCCTCTCCCCTTCCTGTGGTTTCCAGGATCTGGGATTCAGAAGCACCGCTGCCTCTGACGGTGGTGGCAGAGCATAGCTATTGTGACGAGTAGCCTCCAACAGCCCTCTCCCTCCATGAATTTGTCCAATCCTCTTTTAAACCCATCCACATCGGGGGCCATGACTGGCTCCTGCAGAAGCAAGTTCCACAGTTTAACCAGGCGCTGTGTGCAGAAGGACTTTCTTTCAAGCTACAGTTAGCAAGGAAAGGGTCCATTTTCCCTGTATGGCAAAATAAGTCAGGCCCCTGACACTTTCTGTGCTTTATCATTTCCTGCTATCGTGCTCTCTGCCTGTGCGCAGTCGGAGTCTGGTTCGAGCAACGTTATCAGATCCACTGCAGGATGCCGCTGTCCTGACCTGCAAAGTACTTCCATCTGAACAGAGCCCAGCAGAGGCAACAACAGCCTTGGTCAACCTGGGGCCCTCCAGATGTTTTGGACTACAACTCCCATCTGCCTCAGCCAACATTTTAGATGGGAGTTGTAGTCCCAAACATCTGCAGGGCCCTGGGAGAGCTAAGGCTGCAATAAAGAAGGACCAAAGACATACAACTGCAGCGCCGGCGAGAGCAAGGAGGATCTCGCCAAAGCTGTGAGGCTGCCAGAAGGTGTAATCTTCAGCACTTTGTGATGATGGGTTTTTTCTTTCTTTCTTTTAATCTCATTTATAAATAATGCAGGAACATATTCCTCCCACCCCACCCCCCTTCGCTGCTGGAAATACTGACAGCCACTTAAGGGAAACATGCGCAGCCTGCCAAAAAGCAGGGCATGTTTGTGTGGCATGAATAATGGAGGAGGTTCAGTGCCACACGGGGTTTCACGGCCAGTGGGTCAGTGGGTGGAGGGCACCCTTTCCACCTGCCACCCCATTGGCTCCAAACATCCTTGCCACTCTCTTGCTTTGCCAGAGGGACCATAAGAAAGAGTTCTCTGTATCTGCAAAATGGCAGCTTATCTATTATTATTATTATTATTATTATTATTATTATTATTATTTAATGCATGATTTTGGTAAAGCAAAGGAACCGTAAGGTTGAATGCTATTATTTCAAAATGTCACAAATATAACCCATCTTTCTATAAACACAGAATCAGAGTTGGAAGAGAAGGTCCCAAGGGTCATCTAGCCCAATTGCCTGCAATGCCATCCAGCCTCTATTTAAAGGACAGTCCATCACCTTCCAAAGGAATCCGTCAAATGGCTCTTACTGTCAGAAGGATTAGTCGGAATCTCCCTTCTTGTCATTCCAATCCACTGTTGTTCATTACTCCTTCTACAACATTGCTATTTTAGATAGTATTATTACTCTGTTCCATTAGAAGCCATTAAAGAAAACAGAAATTGACAGAGCGAAATCTCCTTCTCACTCTGGTTTGCTGCTGCACAGAGCCTGGCGGCAGTTAAGGAACTGAATGACCATTTCCAAGCCAACAGCAGTAATTAAACCCTTTAGTAAACCCAACAGTAATTGTAATAGAGAGCTATCCCTCTCACAGCACAGAGACCAGGCGGAGATCTTGTCTCCCCAGAACTGAAATTCGCTTCCCCTCATCCTCCTATCTCTAGCCTTGAAGGGAGGACCATTCTCAGTGATTTGAGTGCTGAATCTTACTTCCCATCTACACTATAAAGCGCTCTCATACCTGTCTCAACCGTCCCGATTTGGGTGGGATATCCTGGAATTACAGAACCCACCTCTGCTTCTGACTGGATCCAGGGGTGTCCTGTTTCAGCTCCCACACTCTGGGGTGGAACAACCGGTAGCCGCCAGAGCATGGCCTTTGTTGAGGTGTCCAATGGGAAAGGTCACTGAGAAGGGGCAGGTAGGCGTTGGAGGGGTTTTAAGTGTGTTGAGGGGCCGAGTCATGTCCCGACTTTCATCAGCGGGACATTGGGAGTGTATGCACTGGGATACCACAGTTAATCCTGAGAGGTGCAGTTTGTTAAGTGTGCTGGGAGTGGTTAAGAGACCCCTCACAGGACTACAATTCCCAGAGGGAAGAGGGATTGAATGCTAAACCACTCTGAGATTTGCAGGTCAGTGAGGGGTCTAAGGGGTCTCCTACTAACCCTCAGCACCTTGAACAAGCTACAGTTATCAGGATTGTTTTGGGGAAGCTAAAGCTGTATATTGAGCTAAAGGGGACGCGGGTGGCGCTGTGGGTTAAACCACAGAGCCTAGGACTTGCTGTTCAGAAGGTCGGCAGTTCGAATCCCCGCGACGGGGTGAGCTCCCGTTGCTCGGTCCCTGCTCCTGCCAACCTAGCAGTTCGAAAGCACATCAAAAGTGCAAGTAGATAAATAAGCACCACTCCAGCGGGAAGGTAAACGGTGTTTCCGTGCACTGCTCTGGTTCGCCAGAAGCGGCTTAGTCATGCTGGCCACATGACCCGGAAGCTGTACGCCAGCTCCCTCGGCTAATAAAGCGAGATGAGCGCCGCAACTCCAGAGTCGGTCACGACTGGACCTAATGGTCAGGGGTCCCTTTACCTTTATATATAAGGCAACTTCCTACTTTCTTATTTAATATAGCCCTTATTCAGCTAGGAGGTCTAGAATCTTACTTTATTTTTACACTGCATGCAGAAGGTCACTTACTCAGTCCCTGGCATCTCCAGGTAGGGGGTACCACCTGCCTAGAACCCTGCAAATCCGCTGACCATCAGTGCAGACAAAACTGAATTAGATGTAGTAATGGCATGGCTCAGTATATGGAAGGATGTTTCCTCTGTTCCACAGAACAGCCGGAAACTGTGAGTGCACACAGATCTTTTTCCCCTCCTAGTGCTTCCTCCTCCCCAAGGGTAGCAGAGTGTGCCATGAAGACTAAGAGTTAAGAGGCATTTGAATGGGCGGCAGGTTGAGCGGAAGTGTGTTTTCATCCTCTTACCAGCCTTTCAAATTTCAATAGCACTTTTCAACGCGCTTGAGTGCTTACAACTCTTTATCTCCAGGAGAGGGAAGACTCCCAGGTGATCTTGTTTTAAAACCTTTGGTGCAATACCTAGAAAACTGACGTTATTTGTTTGCTTGCTTTGCTTAGCCCTGCAAAAGGGCTGGTGAATCCAGACTTGATGCTGCATCCTTTTAAAAAAAAATGTTTACATGTAAAAACTGGATTTTATAACCTTCAAGCTTTTTTTATTAAAAAAAGAAATTTGTGTATTTATATTGCAATTCTGATAACCATCAGATAGTGTTTCTAGAACAATTGGTGGACAGAAGGTAGATCAAAATCAGGTGGCAGAAACGCCTGAGTAGTCTATAATCGATCTCCCAATAGTACAGTGTATCATATAGTTTTTGCACAGCTCTACCCAATCTCTGAGCCATGTGAGATTTCAGGGAGAACCAGGGAATGAGGTTTGTGGAGAATGTGGTGTCTTCATGTTATCTGGTGTTTCCACTTATATACAACCTGAGCATATAATGGAGGGGCTCACAGCATTAACACCCCAGAAGGTCTTGCTTCTCCCACAGTCACAGCCCTGGATTGCAACAGAAATCAGGCATGGCTCTCGCTCTCTGGCTTCTGCCTGCTTCTAGCCCAGCTCTCCCTCTCACACACTCAACTCTGGCTTTTGTCCCTCTTACCACCAGCCAGGGGACGCGGGTGGCGCTGTGGGTTAAACCACAGAGCCTAGGACTTGCCAATCAGAAGGTCAGCGGTTTGAATCCCTGCAACAGGGTGAGCTCCCGTTGCTCGGTCCCTGCTCCTGCCAACTTAGCAGTTCAAAAGCACGTCAAAGTGCAAGTACATAAATAGCTACCACTCCAGCGGGAAGGTAAACGCCATTTCCGTGCGCTGCTCTGGTTTGCCAGAATCATGCTGGCCACATGACCCGGAAGCTGTACGCCGGCTCCCTCGGCCAATAAATCGAGATGAGCGCCGCAACCCCAGAGTCGGCCATGACTTGTTCTAATGGTCAGGGGTCCCTTTACCTTTACCACCAGCCAGGTGAGGGAGGGGACCCACCCATTTGCCCTCTGGAACAAAGCCACTTCCTTGGTTATACTAACACAACCACGCTTAGGCGAT